ACACAAGTAAGGTGTTTTTGCGTATTCCTCTGAGTAAAATTTCCCACGTTGTTTTCAATAACTCTAACCCAGACTGAGGTAATAGGGGCCTCGAATCATCGGAAGCTAGGCATCAATCGAATTTTAAAAAATCGTTATGCATGCTCTGGATTCAATGCGGACTCGAGCACTTGGGTTTTCTACTGACGAGGTTTTGTGCTACACCCGCGGAATTATGATCACCGTGATGGCAGAGAAGGCACTTGTCAGTCTCTCTCTATCCAACGATGAAAGAAGGAGTTCTGTTCGTTAAATATCCACAGAAGTTTTACTGGTCAGTCATGAAAGAGTGAAGGAACTAGGGTTGCATTCAACTTCTCCTACCATTACTGGCATTACTCTATATCAGGGGTCGGGAACCTATGGCTCATGAACCAAATTTGGCTCACGAGTCGAAAAGTTTGGCTCGTGAGACATGGCTAAAAATCATGCTTGTTCCTCATATTTCTCATGCATCAAAGATTGCACATGTCTGTTGCCAACTTCAGGGAAGAAAAAAACTTTTTTTTTATCTTTGGCTCACGAGCACATAGCTCAATCTTAATATGGCTCACATGGCCAAAAAGATTCCCACCCCTGCTCTATATTGATGCGTACAATATCTCCGGGCAACAATGAGTGCGTATTGCAATATTCACGGTTTCACACACCTACCATGAATGGTTGTGTGCAGCCACATGCACGGTGAAGCACGTAGTCAGGTCTCTAGTCTGACAAATGATTCATCATCCTATGGGCCAGAATTGTCCAGAGCCTCCCTGGGTTGTAATACCCGTGTTGACGATTCCACTAAAGAAATCCAGTGTCTTACTCTAACTTAATAGTGGAAATAGATCTGGTTCCACATGGAAGTACTTGGTATATATTCCGGAGGCATCAAGGAGTGATTGTATTTATTAGCGATTTCGGCGCCATCTATCTCCCTTTGTCGGAACCATGTCTCATCGACTTACATAATCGCTTAGGCAGATAAGAGCGAGCCATGACGCTCGGGCAGGAGTAAGGATGACGGTGTGCGCGATTCCAAGCCGATTGGATGAGGGAGGCATGACGTGTCTCAGTCGGAAGGAATGATTGGAGGTTGGTGGGGGCCTGCACCGCGGAGGGGGCGGCGTTTTTGGAAGGGAGGCAATGTTCGCGTCGGATGGGGTCGGATGGCTTTAATTTCTCCGAGGAAGAGCTGACGGGGCTCGGAATCAGCGAATTTGCTGATGATGATACGAAAAAAGGTTTCTTCATCAGGAGGATGAGGACAGGGCGTGAGCGGAGATGAAATTATGCTTTTTGGCGAGTGGCGGGGGGAAAAAAGGCTCATGAAGGAAGAAAGAGTAAATGTAAGATCCTCTATATCGTTTGTAATAACGATAGGTCTCTGAACGCGTTCGGCGAGGATAAACTGGAGAAGGCAAACGGAGAGATGCTGGGATGCGATTGAGGAGAAGCTCCGATTCCTTGCGCAGCCGACAGTCCCTTATATGCAGCACCGGTTTGACTCCCATCTATTGTACTGCGTTCGATTTGGAGACCTGCAATTTAATGTGATTTATCGGCTCAATTTATCGCTCGAGAGAGTTCAGAGGCGAGCTACGAAAGAGACAAAGTAGGACGACTTTCATAGGCCTTGTCTACAACAGAGTGTTCTGAGCAATTTTTCTTCGCAAGTCGACTTTCACGGTGAGAACATTTTTGGATGTTTTGTGTGCAAGATTTCCAATGCTCTGGGAGATTTATTCTAAAGTTTTATTTAATAAATAATTATCTTGCAACATTCTTTGATCGTTCATGCAAGAAAACCTGGTGTGAACGAGGCCTTACGAGAAGCACTCGAAAAAGTTAGAGCTCTTCTGAGAGTTAGAGTTAAGTTAAAAGAAAGTTAGAGTTCTTCTCTCTTCCACAAGGCTTTTAAGGGAATCGATAACGAGGATCGTGGTAGATTCATACAACTCGATGGCAGTAGCAGAATGGAACCAGTTCATGTTGCGTAAACCCCAAGCGGGATTCGGGTTACGAAATTACTTTTTTACTTGTGGGGTGATTAATGCGTGGAATTCGTCAAGTGACGATGTAATGGCTGCCCCGCCCCTTGACTTGACCTGAAAGAGGTTTGATGGACGAAACATAAAGGAGGAATGTAGCTGTAAACGACTAGGCTCTAGGATGAGCGACTACGTTGGTGGAAATGCTGCAACAAAAAATATGAGTACCTTCAAGAAGGGCAGGCCTATCTTATTATACATGAACGCTCGACCTTGACACGGGACGTCATCATGAGCGAAAGCGCCTCTCGACGTCCTCATCTGAACCTTGAACCTTGAGATCAGGATGACTCCAACCACTCGATCTCGAAGCGTCGAGTAACGTATGACAATTAGGAGTCGAATTCGGTCCATAAACATTCGTGACATATCTTGATTTGTTGGAGAGACAGTTAGCTATCATCTCATAATCAGATTCTATTAGGAACTCAGGAAGACGATTTGGGACCGGCAAGTACTTGTCAAGGAGGATGACTTAGCAGTTCTCGTGTGCGTCCTCGATCGAGGCACGTCATCATGGCTGCCGCCTGCTCGCTCAAGGTCAATGCCATGCCCTCCCTGTTTACTAATATCGGTGACTCTTTCTCTGATTGATGGGTGAGATTCCGGTTGCTTCACTCTGGAATGGAGCAAGTGTTCAGTGGAGTTCGTGCGGCTTTTACAGGAAACGAGGCGCAAGTTCGAAAATTTTGCATCGACTTCATAGTCATTTTGACAATGTCAAATCTCTGGTCTTAATCTTGATTACATACGCCCCCCCATTTCAGCAGTCACTAGTCCTTCGACCTAGCACTGATAATGAAGTTCTTGCAACTTACCTGCTTCAAGTAGAGTTATTGGGTCAGACGGTATCTGTTGGACTACTCAAGCTCGAAGCTCATCTTTCTCGGTCGTGTATACCCTACACTACAATCTCAACCTATCAGGTTCAATTTTAATCTGATCCGTAGTTTGAAGTACAGTATAGGTGAACTTTTAGTCCCGTTTCAGAAAGAAGCTAAGGGTGGAATTAAAGGATTCAATTCTTGGTTGGTTCTATCCATCCTTGGTTGTTGTGGAGTGGATTTAGGAATGTCAAAGTCCCTTCCTTGAATTTATTTATTTTCTCTCCAGTTCCCAGTTGGGTTCTCAAAGAAACTTATTAGGCCAGGATGCCAAATGTGACCTTGCAGATTTCCAAAGGGTGGAAAGGGAAGGGCTCCATATGGTGGCAAGTAATATCATTGTTTCCATGTCTTTTCAAGTACTGTACTAATAATTGGCATCACCATATTTTCCTTTCTAAGAATACATTCTTTGGAATTTTCATTGGATTTGACCTGCTTCAGGCTGACAAAATAATATGGTTAGCCCACAACTTAAATTGTTTGGAAATCACTGGCCTAGGCCTTATTCTACAAGCTTGAGGGAGTGGAATTTGTGGGATTGCAAGTGCCTGCTTTTAGTTATGCTTGAAACATGCTTAGTACATGTAGAGTGTTTAAAAGAAAAAGCTCCATCCTTTTTCCTAGGGGTATTTCATCTTGTGTGGCCTCTGCATATGGGGTTTCATAGTTGCTGGTGGATTCTGCATTTAGAATCCTTTACTTCTGTTCTCACCATAATCACCTGCATCCTTAAATATTAGTTTAAATTTTGCTTTGATTCTGTATTGGCAAGTATATTCATGGTGTTGTGTGGGGAGGGGATGTGGGACCTGATATTTTATAGGGCTGAGTGGGCAAGTTTGGTTGGAGCATGAATATGGTTGAAGAAAAGATGTAGTTTTGTACTTTATGCCTTTACTATAAGCATCTCTTCCATTAAATCTCAATTTTTGAGCTGGGCATTTGTTGCAGGTGGGTTTGGTAAGCTTTTCTTACTATTAGCAATTGGTGAATTGATAAGTTTCAATGCAAAGAATCTGCTCTAAGTTTTTTCAGGTTTTCTCCTATATTTTTTTTGCATTAGATTGCAGTTTGTGTCTCATTCTGAAATGACCGGAGTCCCTGGCCATTTTCAAGTTTTTATTTCCCTTGAATAATTGCTCATACTTTTGATATGGTATAATGAATTTGAATGAAGTACAATATGTTTTTTGGGAACTTATTCATCTATCTATAGTTCAAGTTTCATGATAGTAGCTCCAGGAAGAGGAAAGAGTATAGGTATTTTTTGCTGTATCCTTGTGTCTCATGGGTGGTTAACCCTTTTAGTGCCATGGGGCCAAATTTTTTACCATGGCTTTTTGTTAGGTTACTTCCTTCATGTAGTTGGGGTTCTTGTTGTTGGGTATGGGTATACAAATTGGCAGTGTGGCACTAAAAGGGTTGAATTACTGCATTCAAGTTAAATCAGTTAGCTTATCTTCAGCATCTCAACTAATTACATGCTGCCCTCTACCCTAGGCATAACCATGAAACCCATGACTGTACCAAAGAGGCAGTGATTATAGCTAGGTGTAATAAAGCTGCCTTACATATCCCTCAAGATCTATAGATTGCTACCTCCTTAATGTAGGACTTATATTTTCAACACCTAACCCTTTTTCCCAACCTCATCAATCAAATGGGTTGTCATTCTTTGCCATTTGACAAAAATAGAGCAGAAGACCAAAGGGCTCAACTCCCTGGGAGTGGGATCTCTCGGTTACCGGAGAGTGTTATCAAAATTCTTGGACCATAAAAAGCTGTGAGTGAAAAAAATCCAGATGGAGAGTTGTCATACTGGCCGTACAACTATTTCATAATTGACAGTGACATTTGCTTATATTCCTGTTGGAATTGTTGAATATTCTGATGGTAACTCACAAAGCAGTACCTGTACTGCTTTGTTATCAAGTTCCAATTTTCTCATGACAAAATTACCAGTCGTCCATCCATGCTGGGATTGATTGAAATGGAAAGTGGTATTGGACTGCATTAAATGAAGCTTATGTTTGCCTTCATACAGTTATATTTCCCTTCCACAGATATACCCCAACCCTTGGGTTTTTTCCAGTTCCAAGGTAGCTTGAGGTAACCTTGAAATTGGCAACACTCATGCATACCGGAAATATGAGAGTGCCCTTCTCCAACAGGAGACCTGCACAGCTTCGTCTTCGGATCAAGTGTCACAGGTAGTGAAAGTCTGGAGGACAGAATATCTACTTAGTTTTAGTTGGAGAGGGTCAGTCATGGATGAGGGAACAGCTAATGGAGTCATTCACCCATTGGATCCTCTTACTCCCTTTGAAACTAAAGATAGCAATAGTGCCAGTTACATCTTCTCAAGGTGTAATAGCACAGGTTCGCTTCACACACCCACCTCTTCTGCTGCAAATACCAGTAGTGAGTTTCTCATTCATTAATGATGAGTTCTTGCCATGTTCGACCCCTGTGCAGATGAAAAGATGACCGATGGGATTAGGGTGTTGTGAAATATCATCAACAGATGATGAGGATAGTGACTACAAGTCTAACAGTCTCAGCTATAAAGAGAGGCGTCGGGAGGCTCACACACATGCAGAACAAAAGCGTCGTGATGCCATCAAGAGAGGTTATGAGTCTTTGCAAGAAGTGGTCCCAAAATGTCAGCAACTTGATAGTGTGAGTGGGTACAAGCTTAGCAAAGCCACTATTCTGCAGAGATCTATTGACTATATCCAGGCAAGTTTCTCAGAAGAATTTCTCTTATTAGTCCTTTCTATGTATTAAATTTATTCTATTCATGAAGACTTACTTTCATCCATTACAGTATCTTCAGCAGCAGAAAAGGAAACAAGAAGGTGAATTAGCTCGACTGAGGAAAGAAGTTATGGCACTGGAAATCATGAAGGCATCATGCGAAGAGCTGGTTCGAGCCCATCGAAACAGACCCATGCACAGCGAGCAACAGGTTTCTGATGCAGTCAAATTCCAGGTAGTTTTCTTATGCTTCAGTGTCAGCTTGTTTCTATTTCATATATGGTTTCTTTGAAGGTTCCTGGGCAAAAGAGTTCTTAAGGGAACCCATTTAAAACCCCCTCTTTCATGGTCATTGAAATTTGTCATGTCACAGGAAAGGTAAAGCCTCAACTTCAAAAGACCATGTCTAGAATTTCCAGTCTTTGATAGGAGGGTTCCCCATCTCAAAGTAATTGCATAGAGGTTAAATATCCAAAAAATGTAATTGCTCACTGCACCTTCTAGTCATAAGTGTAAAATGTAAAGAGTACACAACGTCCCATCCCAGAGATTTCAGTCTCCGTGTCACATACACTGTTTCTGCATTTAATTTGTACCCCCCTTAGGTGCACTTCCATCAAGTACAGGCAGGACATCTTTTGAATTAAAGATGAAATATTAGGAGAATCCTCAGTGGGTATCTAATTCCTGATCTATGGAGCCCTGCATGTTTGCTTAGGTTCAGATTTGGCAAAACTCATGACCATATAGATGACAAGTATGGTGATTTAGATTATTTCTCCTTTATGGATTAGGCCTGGGACCTGATGGGTAATTGAGAATGTTGTATGCTAAGGATTACTCTCCTCTTGAATTTCCATTTTTGCCATGGAGACATGTCACAGTGTAAGTTTCATGGAAAAACATCCAGTAAGAGCTGAGATTCACTTCCCAAAATTTTGCAAGTTTTGTTCCTACCATACCATATTGATCCTCAAGTCTCCTTTATCTAGGCTGGGTGATGAGTTTTATTTCAGTTTTAGCATCCATGAGGTAATGAAGACTTTGGATGATATTGTTTCATGTCAAAAAATGTGGATTTGTTTGAGCAATTAATCTTCAGCTATTAAAGCAAATTTTCAAAGGAGCCCCCATCTTCATCAATGCACATCACAACTTCCCATCTGAACAGATTAATTGCTCTGTTTATTTCAGCTTGATCCAGGAGTTGCCAAGCCACATCAACACTCGATGTGGTTTTTATCCCAAATGGCCCCAGTATACACTTGTTGACACATTCTATCCTTACATAATAAACCACCAGGTCAGAAATGCAATTGTCCAAGTATCCCTGACTTCGTGCAACATGACATATGGCCCCCAAATTCACCTGACCTCAATTTGGTGGATTATTGTACAAGGAAAGATTGTGCAAACACGTGTAATCTGAGGCCATTTAGGATGAAAACCACCTCATCAAGTGTGTTAATGAAGCCTGGAACACATTCCGCATATCGTTGTGTTCCTATTTGACGGGGCTTTCAGAATTTGTAGGAATTTTTCGCGTGCGCGCAATATGCACATTTTTATTGCGGAACACGCATGACTTTTCATACAAGCCTCGTATGGCCCCCAAATTCACCTGACCTCAATTTGGTGGATTATTGTACAAGGAAAGATTGTGCAAACACGTGTAATCTGAGGCCATTTAGGATGAAAACCACCTCATCAAGTGTGTTAATGAAGCCTGGCAACTCCTGGATCAAGCAGAAATAAACAGAGCAATTAATCTGTTCAGATGGCTAGTTGTGATGTACATTGATCAAGATGGGGGGCCCCTTTGAAAATTTGCTGTAATTGCTGGAGAGTTATGAAAAAGTGAAACTCAATGGTTGTGAAGTGGGAGTGGAGGTGAGTTGTTCTCCAGGGAAGATGTTCGATTATTGAAAAAAGTCTTGGGTTAAGTGAAAGATAATGGGAGGGGGAAAAAATTAACTGGAATGGAGCAGAGGAGTAACCTTAACCTTTTCCTGGTGTCAAACTCAGCTCAGAAATTTCCTGGCAGGCCAAAAGGTAGGATTACATTTTTCAACGTCTTTGTGTACCTTTGACTACCCTTTCATGGCAATTATTTCAGTAGCTATTTTGCCATCAAATAATGAAAACTGAATTTTGCATTTCTGAAATTACATTTAAATAGCCTGTCAAGATAGGGTAGGATATTATTTGCCTTTTCACCAGGGATTGAGTTTACAGAGAAGCTCCTATGAAGTATATTTTATAAAAAGAAGGAACAATTTTTATTCCTCTATCAATTTATAGTACCTATGGACATGCTCATAGTCAAGGCTGAGTCCTTACCCTTGACCCTTTATCTTTAGAAAAATGTAAAAAACATATCTTTTTGTATCTGTTTTCTCAAATTCCCTTGGATGTGGAGATGGGAGAGTATAAGCTAAAAAGTCCTACAATGTGCTAAGCACATTGTTGGACTTTTTTGGTCATCTGCTTTCCTAGTTATTATGCACTGGTAATTTATTTTCATGCCACCTATGCAAGTTTGATAAGATGCCCCATAAACAGAATCGCTGGACAGACATCTTGTTCCACTCATACCCATCTGACAGACTTAAGATTGGTACTAGTGTGTTGGTATTGGAAGCAGTCTTGGAAATTTGAGACCCATCTGAATTTTCCTCTTGTATTACCCCACCAAAAAGCAAAAGGCTTAGTTCCTGTAAATGAATTATCCTCTTAGGACCAATATTTATTGACAATCGATTGATTTTTTACATTTAATTTCAGGTGTTTCAAGCCATCATGGATGGATTGTATCAGTCATTCAGCCAATGTGTGTCTCTGAACAGTTTTTCAGAACTTTCCTCATCAATGTTTACATGGTTAGAAGAGTACTGCAAACCACAGGTGAGCTGACTCATTTTCTGGCTTAATTATTCAAATTTTCATGTTAAATTGAATGTAAGAATTATTTAGGAGTCTGCAATGCATGTAGTGCCTCCAGTATATATCCAGAAATATACAGGAATTGATTGAAATGGATGTTTTTGTCAATTTTTTCAGAGCATGCAAGAATTGCTGTCTGGGATCCTGGTGCAGCTACCACCAAATGCTACTCTGCCTCATCTGCCATCATACTCTGAGGGGAAATTTAAACATGCAGTTCCATCAACTGCTCCATATTAACCCTCCTCTATTTCCAAGTTTTTTTTTTTTTGCTTCTTAGCTTTCTTTCCCATCAAGATGTAGTTCTGGTCCTGTTTTCTCATGTTTGTTCATATTTGAGTATTTTTTTTTTTTTTGCCAAGAGGTTTTTGAGACTGAGGCTGATGCTCATCACCCCTGAATATATGTGCAATCCTGATATGACGAGAGATTTGAAATCCCAGTTCTAGTCAATAACAATAAATTAGGCTGGAATGGGTCCACCAGGATCTCGTCCAAGTTCAAATTAAGAGAAGAGTTTCGCTCAAATTTCTTCTGCAACATCTTTAAATTTTAATTACCTATATGTAGGTGCTGCTTAGTGCAATCTCCTTGGAAATGGAACAGATGTTAACCATAAAACATATGTCTACTATAGTTATTCCAGAGAGGAACTCCACTTCCAAATTGTACTTCTTGATGAAATGCAAACTTTTCTATTTAGCTTCAGTGAATTTTTGTTACCTGCTATGTTAGAGCAATTGAGCTTCTCCTGTGATATGAGTTCATAAGTCTAGATCAGATATTCAGTGGTAAAGTTTTCTGTTCTTAATTGAGGCATTCATATTGGCAGCAGAGATGAACTGCAGATGAAGATTTGTACACAGTTCAAGAGTCAGATATACTGGTCTTTGAAATTGTTTCCTGCTGGCATATGTAGTGTGTGCACAATGAATGTTGGATTTTCACCTTTTCTTTCCTGGGATGCACCAATGGCTGATGAATGTTTGAGATTGGGGCCTGGCTTGAGTATACTGAGTTTTTTTTATTATAAAGAAATATATATATTCTGTGATCACTTTCAAGAAGTTACAAAAACTTTCATAAGTTCATAGTAGCTTACATGATAAAGTTCAAGTTGCAGTATTGGCATTGATAGACGTCACAATATTGATGAGGAAAATGAAACTACAAAATGCCAGCCACATCATGGAATGTGTTGAATGTGTACTGAAATGCATATGCCTAGAAATAGTAATGGTCTGAAGCAAACATTCCACCAGCTCTGACCCAAGGCATGGCATGAGGCAGCATTGAGAAGCATTAGGACACAGGGAAGCAAAGTAATTGGGCAGCAACATGAACAATAATGCCTTTTTTATTCATCTAAGGCAATGTCTCAGTCAATCTTTTTGGAATTAATGAGACTCTATTACATTGAAGCTAGGCTTGTGTGCCCAAGCTGTGGAAACATCGGAATTTTGCAGTTGAAAGATGGTAAGAGATCACATGGACTGCACTTCACCCTATGATGGGATGCATACAGTCTGTGAACAAGGCCAGAGGTTAAAAACCTCTGATCTTGCCATGTTTTACAATATTCTCATCATTCTGATCATGTCCCCCAACAATGGATTCCTTGCCTCATCTTCACCATGATGCAAAAGTCACTGGCAATTTGTTTAGATGAATGGCATTTTTTCCTAGGAAGTGAGAGTGCTGATTTTTTCCAAAGTCTTCCATGTATGGTCAGCCAGGTACCAAATTCCAGTGTCATTGGGTCCCATCCAGCTCATATAAGTTTTGACAGGTTGTGAACAATCAGGAATCCCTGGGTGTTCCCAAAGTGTCTAATCCTATGTTTTACCTTTTTTTTTTCTTATTAACAAGGGTGATGGTCCAGCCAATGCTCAGGTGATGATATTGCCAATCAGTGCCATGCAGATGTACCTGTTGAATTTTCCTCATTTAGTCATTCAGCTTGTTTGATGCCAGCATTGAAACTTGGAGTGGAACTGATATTTTTTTTCTCACTCAAAGAATATTTGACTTTCACATACCTGCAGGTTGTGCAAACTGTTTTTTTTTTTCTTTTTTTAGCACCACAGAGACCTACACACCTTTTAATGAATAATTCATTTGACTCAGTCCATATGTTGTTCAGTCTTCACTGGCATTACATTTAAAACAACTTCCCGATCATAAGCAATTGATCAAGGATGATGGTAATTATTATATTGTAAATTACTATTGAAATATGAAAAGCTTTTATCTGTTTTTTTTATTATATTTTTTCTCAGTAATTTGCTAGTAGGAAGTCAAAATAAGGTTCTTTGGCAGTTGTAAATGTGTTTTCTTCTACTGACATGGATTAAAGCACTGGTGAGACCATTAAATCCCAAGACTAGATCCATTTAACCAGGATAGATTTCATGCTATTGCTCAGTTATTCGATTCAGCTGTGGACTCTTTGTAATTCTTCCATTATTTCCTGTTGCATGCACTTGTATAAGAATTGCTGTCCTTGTTTGTTCCTGGTCTGCATCTCTAATTGAAGTTGTTTATATATAGACCCTGCATACTCATCAAATATTCTTTGAGAGAGACAATGAATAATTGGAATGTGCATGAATTTTCTTGCTGGCAACTGCTTTATTCAGTATCTGATCCAGATTCTTCTCACCTTTGAATCTGTCTGAGATTGTACTTTGATGGAGGAGAGTGTGATTGTGAAGATGCTCTAGGGATTTCATGTTTCAGAAGTTGCCTCAGCAGCTTCTGGTTCCAGATTGTGTTTTTCAATTATTTCTGCTGTTGGGAATTATAGAGAGCTATGAAACTTCATTTATTTTCTGAGCTGGCCATGAATTGGTACAATTTAAAGTAAAATATGCATAAACTTGTTAAAGCCAATTTCTCCAGTCATGAAGTTGGAAAATCTTGAAGTTTGTAGCTTACCTAATAACTTTAGTATAATCTATGATCTTTGGCACTTCTTTAACCTTCTTGAAGATGGCCTGACAGTTTGAATTGAAAGATCCCCTCTGAAAACCTTTTACTTGGAGTAGTAAACGTATACTTTGACTGGTGCTCATGTACCATGTTGTTAATTTACCAGTACTATAAAGAAACTTAATCCACCAGCACTCATGAAAAGAACGATGGTAACTATAGATTTGCATTTTGCATGCATTTCATGGCTCTTATTCAATTCCCAATACTCAGAAACATCTTTCTGAAATAATCACTGACCGGTTTAAGTATATTTGGGAGTATAGCTGTGAAAAGTTTCACCATTGTGCCTGAATTTTCACTTATCTCATTCTCCATTCCCCTCAGAGTGATGATTGCACCATTTTAAGAGATGTGAAATTAATAACTTTGAAACTGGAATAGCAGAAATGCAAATTCACTGCAACTCCATGACATGGGCAAAGTCTTGGCATCTGGTGACAATCAGCTCAAACTTCTTTACCATACAGTGATTAGGAGGTATGGATTTCCTTTTT